TATCCTTTGACCCTCGAACTCCTCGAGTTGGGCCTTCCATCTTACTTGGCCAAATTTCAGATCTGTAGAAAGGAAGATAAAAGTTAAATTTGATAAAGATAAATTGTAAAAATAAAATAAAAACTATAAATTAAAGAACTGAAAATGAAAACACGCATAAAAAGTAAATCTAAAACTATGAGAAACTGGTTGGGATCCGGATCCAGAGGTGGCAGTAGTGGCTAGGCGAACTGCATGTAGGAACCCCTCCTCTTGCTTGGGCGTTCTCCTCTTCCTCTACCCTTGAACTTCTCAAGAATAGTCTTCCATCTTACCTGGGGGTAGAATCCAACCTAAAAGAAAATAAAGAAAACAAAAGGGATGGTTGATCAAATCCAGTGGTGGTAATTGCAGATTGACTGGACTGCTTGCAGGAACCTCTCCTGACAAGATCTGGGCGTCCTTCCCTTCTACAACCCTTGAACTCCTCAAGAAACCTTAGCCTTGTAAATTAGGTGAATTGACCAACCCCTTATCCAGGGCCCTTGGGGTCCTTTTTATAGAGAAGGGTGAACAAAAATGGGATTAGAGAGAAAAAGAGGGGCGGCTAATGGGTTTTTGTAGAAATATGGGCCCCCTAAGGTTAAGAATGGAGGGTTAGAATTGTTCTAAGGTGATCCTAAGGCTGAAAAGAGGATGAGAGGGCACCCAATATTATGTAGGGCTGAGATTTGGGCGCCCAGAATGGAGGGTGCAGTTTTGGGCGCCTATAGTTGGAGAAAGGTGATTGGTCTATGTGATGTAGTGCCCTAAGGTGATTGGTTGAGGTGTAAGACTAGGATGCTATTTAGGGATAAATCTAAGGGTATGAAGGGATGCTAAGGCTTGGATGGTTGAGATTAGAGGTTAGGAGAGAGTGGAGGGTGGAGATTTAATAGCGTAGGGCAGCTAGGGTTTGTTAAGGTGAAAAGAATGAGTGGGGAGGCACCCTAGGGTTTCCTAAGGAGAGGGGAGTATGCTAATACAATAGGAGGGGTGCCTATCTGGGTTTGGCAAATGGGAGGCGCCCTCTTGTGCTCAATTTTTCATAGAAACACCCCATCTCTCAGCTGGAATTCACACCAACTTCCCGAAAATTGCATTTTAGCCCTAAAACTTTCACAGTTTTCCTATGATTTGCATAGGGACCCTCAAAGGTCATAGTATTGAATTTAATTGGGAAAATGACAAATTTTGACTATTTTAAGGCCTAGGTAACCCTAAAATGATGCCCGCTAAGGCATCAAAATACAAAGTTATCATCTACCTTTGGGCCAACGTCTTGGCAATCACTTAAAGGATGAACTTAACTCAAAGGTGGAAAGCCTTAGCCTCTTAGGTAGCCACCAACAATCTCGCACATACACTGGTTACCACATCAATAATCATGCCTTAGGTCATTAAAGAAGTATCGATCGTCATCTAACCCCATCCATCCCAACGTCAAACCAGGATGAACACCTCAATAATCATCACGTACAAAGAGGAGCCAACCCAATAGTATCAAGATACTCTCATAACGGCCTAGATCTTTCATAGGCCTGTAGTCAACCTACCTTGATGCTATTCATGTTAATATTAAAGAAGTAAAGGAGGTTAAAGTGGACACATCCTCTAGTCACTATAACTTGACAAGTAGGATGGAAGCCTTCACTAATGAGATCATTTCATTGTCTCTCCCCCCAAACTTCAATGCTCCTAACTTGGAAACTTATGACAACACCATCAACCCAAAGGATCACATTAAAAGTTACCATGCCATCATACTACTCMTTGGATTCTCCGATGCCTCAATGTAACGTGCCTTCCAATCCACACTCAAAAAGGTTACCTAACCTTAATGTAACGTGCCTGCCATTTTGAATAGTAGGTAATATTAGAAGACCTTGACTACACTAATGGCGATTAGACAGAAACCAAATGAGCTACTTTGGGACTATACTCAATGCTTTAATGTTGAGGTCTTAGAGGTGAAAGTCCTCAACTAGGCCATTGTAGTAGTGGTTGCCACCAATGGCTTAATATCATCGACATTCATCTTCTCCCTTTTGAAGAAATTGCTTCAAAACATAGTAGAACTTTTATCCCAATGTGAGAAATATATAAATGTGAAACAAATTGAAGCTAGCAAGTGTTCAATTGGAGATGAACGAGCTAATAGGAAGAGAAAAAATAGAGATGAGTCGAGGCTTGATGGATCACAAGGCAAGAAGGACAAGTCCATCCAAACAGACTTTGCCTTTGTATAAAAGCTACACTCCTCTAAATGCCTCTTGAAACCACACCCTCGTGTCGATTAAGGAAACCAAGAAAAGTGATGTAAGTACCACCATAGTGTAAACCTTGACACAAATGGATATCATAAGTTAAAGAATGAAATAGAAGCCCTCATAAGAAAGAGGTACCTATAAGACTTTGTCAAAAAGGATTAGGCATCTAGGTTAACCTTAGAGCTAGCCGACCATCTAGCTAATATTCCATTGGCTGAGGTCATCAACGTTATCTTTGGTGGTCCAACAACAGGTAGAGAAAGTTTATCTGCTAAGAACACATACCTAACAACTACAAATCGAACACAAGCTCCAAAATAAAGCAAAACCTCGAGGAGGCCATCACCTTTTCTAATCAAGACTTATAGGGGGTTGTCACTCCCCCATGATGATGCGCTAGTGGTCTACCTTACAATCGCTAACAATGAAGTAAAAAGAATATTGGTTGAAAATGGCTCTTTAGCTGATACCCTCTTTTATGACGTGTTTAAGAAAATGAGGCTAACCCCGAATTGACTTCAGCCAACCAACGTCCCCTTGGTCTCTTCAGGGCAGCTATCAGACCAAAAGGAAAGATCACCCAACTAGTCACAATAGGAATATTTGACAATCAAGTTCTAGGTTGTTAAGGTCAACTTGCCTTACAATACGATCATCAACCGACCAACATTGCACTTCAAGAAGGCAATGGTATCTTCGTACCACCTAGTGATTAAATTTCCAACAGTCCATGACATTAAAGTGGTAAGGGGTAACCAATAATTAGCTAGGTAGTGCTATGTAATAGGTCTTAAGGGGAAGACAAAGGAGACATTGTTTGTGGAAGGGCTCAACCTTGGGCTTAGTTTGGAATGAGCACAAATACAAAAATCTATAGTGCAAAACCTTGTATTTTGTATTACTTTGTATGTATTTGTACTCTTTCCAAACTAAGCCTTAGGGATGAACTAAAGACTAGCCGAGATCAACCTGTAGAGGACCTTATTGTTATGCCACTAGATGAGGCTGAACTCAAGAAGACTATACTTATTGGGTCCCTTCTCCTAGAGGATACACACTCCAAATTGGTAAGCCTCATCAAGCCAACACTGACATTTGGGCTACTATTGATATGCTAGGAATTGACCCCTCGGTCAAGACTCACAGATTAAGCATGGAGCTGGGTTGTAAGTTGGTTCAGTAGAAGAAGATGAACGTTGCATCAAAGTGATGAAAAGTGGTTGGTTAGGAAGTAGACAAACTACTCAAGACCATTCATTAGAGTGGTATATTGCCCTAACTGGTTCAGTTCATCTAAAAGTATGACTGATGCCAAAGACACACCGATGTACCACATCAACCTACATTCTCCCTAATGTCCACCAATAGTCCGTGGCTTTTCACATAGTGGGAAATGGACATCTTGGGGCCATTTCCCTCGCTATGGGTTAGAGAAAGTTCTTAATAGTGACCATTGACTATTTCATGAAGAGAGTCGAAACCGAACCTTTGACATAGATAACAAATAGAAACATTAGTACTTTTTGAAAAACAGCATCTATTGCTTCAATATTCATCATACTCCAATCATAGGCACCAATCGCTAATTCAATGACTCAAAGTTAGACTTTTGTGCAAACCATGGAGAGGAGCAATAATTCACCTCAATTGATTACCCATAAACCATCAAGACCAAGGTGATCAATATGACCTTATTGCATGACCTAAAGACTAGACTTGGTAGAGCTAAAGGCCTATGGGTTGAAGAACTTCCTGGTGTGTTATGGATTTATAGAACCACACTTCAAACTGCCACCAATGAAACACCCTTCAACCTCGCCTTTGACACTAAGGTTGTCATTCCGGTCTAGATCAACGTTTCCTTCAACCAACCATCAATTAAGGACTGATGTTTACATTGAAGTAGAGAATAATGAGGAGTTTAGAGGCAACATAGACCTAGTAGAAGAGGTATAGGAATAGGCTCAAATCAGAGTAGTTTTCTACTAATAGAGGATTGCTTCGTATTACAATTCTTGAGTCCAAGGATATTAGTTTCGAGAAGATAACCTCATCCTTAGAAAAGTCATTGTCCTTGAGCTTGGTTTGAGAAACCTTAGACCCAACTAAGAAGGACCTTATAAAGTATCTAATGCAATGGACCTTATAATATCAATTAGAGTAATTTGGTGGAAAACCTATAACTTGGACTTGAAATTCAAAAAACTTTAGAATGTACTACCACTTATCTACATGGATGTAACTTCACAATTATAAATGAAAAGCTCGTCTTTAGGCTACTAAGAAATATGCGTCCAAAACCTCTTTAATGAGGCTTACCCACCAAATTGGGAGCGCACCTCACATCGACCTCACAACCCTATCCCACCGTATATTGGGAGATGTTCCCAATGTGCGGCTAGAAGGCGTTGTGAGATTGGTTTTAGGAGTAGATCCGGACTACTACTCACTACCGAGAGGTGATGGGATCTGCTCCTCACAAATGGGCGCCTCACAGGCACATCCACCATGTATTTGGGACATCTCCCGTGAATATTCATAAATAAGTACAGGAGATGTTCCCGATGTATGGTAGGATGTGCGTGTGAGGCGCCAGGTGAGGAGCAGATCCGGTCGCATTGAGGCAGTGACCATTGAGCCCACTGCCCAGAAGCCGACACTCCCCACAGACCAGACAACGGCAAAAAACCGTTATATTAATTGCCGAGGATTCTTGCTAAAACCTCTGAAAAACCCTTTCCTCCCTCCAAGTAGAAAATGCAGGTGATAACCTGCAAAAACACAACTTCTAACCCTCTTTCTTCATTCTCAACGGTTTCCGCTACTCATTCCCGCCAAATCAAGTTTCTCTCAGGAGTATTACCGTTACAATTCAACTGTAAGCTCCCCAGAACCAGAGTCTCTACTTTTGTTGACTGTTCAGGTTTTGCAGATGGGAGAACACAAAAATGGAAGATTATAAGGGGTCAAGAATTGGGACAACTGAGGCATTCTTCTGACACTCGTAGAGAAATCGGGGCTGTTAATGGAAGCAAAGGGGAAAGTTTGTCACCAGGGGATGAGAAACCCTATGAATTGTTACCGGGGGGAAGGAGAGCTTACCTTGATGAGCAGGACATTGTGACGTTTCTCGATCCTCCGAAAGAGTTGATTCCGTTGGACCCAGCTTCATACAATCCTGCTGTCTATCTTTGGTGAGTTATAATCTTGATTATAGATGTTTCGTTAAAATTGTTCAGGCGTAGCATAAATTGACATGCTGAAATTGGTTAATATCGCTTGGCTTCTCTTCGATTATGAGGTTGAGAGAGAGAATGGATGTTAATTTTTTATTTTTGGAATATTGATCATTCTATTACATATATGTCTAATTTTTACTGTGGGCTGACAAAAATTCGTTTTTGTAATCTCAAGGAAAAAAATAGGAGATATTCCAGAGGAAAGGCGACATCGGCTGATATACTTGCTGAAACCTAGGTTGTTTCTTTCAGATTCTCTTTGAGTTGTATTCTAATTGTGCTTGAACTGTTTCCCATGTAATGCAATTTCTGCTTTCTTGAAAGGGCATTTATGTTTTGATTAAACATGATTAAACTAAATCTATCCATTGGGCTTTGTGCTGCATTATGACGAAAATAAGCAGAACAAGTTATTCTATGATCTTTAAGGAATGATGTATTTTTCAATTGTGATGCAGACTTATATCAAGGGTTTGGGAAATAGCAGGAACACGATATGAGGATTCTAAGTTAGCAAAGAAAAGTGCTTCCAGCTTGATATCTACTGAAGATAGTGAAGTGCCAGTTGAGGTCTGGGACTGCAGAACAAGTGGAGGTACATTTCTAACATATGCATGTGTAGATCTATTGTATGATTTTGACAATTGTTCATCCAATTAAAAGAACAATCATTTCATGTGCACATCAGACCTCTGTTGTCCCTTCTCTATCATCTATCCAATGAGTCAGCTCCGGAATTTGCACTTCTAGTCACCCATTTGAATGATTTCCCTATTATGGATTTGCCTCTAAGGTGCTTGTTTTTGGTGCTTTTCTTTTCTTAGATACAGTGTAAAGTTCTTAATTCTATTTATTTATTTATTTATTGATTGATTCTCTATTCTTGTTTTGTTAGAAACCACATTCAATTTGATCTGTCAACATGCTGTATATTGTTGACCTTATTGCATATTCAACTTCATTTTAAGAATTGTTAACAGTTGTAACCTAATATCTTTCTTCTTATATCTTTCTTATGTTTCTGTGCCTTTATTTTCTCAGTRTTTTATGACATTGATGTTGTTATTGAATAGGACCTTTTCCTATCTCTTGGATAAATTTCTTCAACAAGGTAATCCTGTTTCCTGTACTTTATATTTTCAGGATGTCCAAACCTATAATTATTTCATATTGCTTACTATTTGTGTAGTACCGTGTGTGCATTTATGGCTTCTTATATGGATTCAGTTTTTCATCCTATGCATGTAATCAGGCTGTATTTCATTGTAAGGATGGGAAGACTTATGGACGGATTGCTTTTGGTAAGTTCATTTCTTTTTGAGAGAATACATTATGTTGTCAGGAGGCTCATATGTGCATTAGTGCTGTTCAATTTTAAACATCTTCAAACAATTTAATTTTAAATGATTATAGGGGGCAGTCTTTGTATTTTGGGAATTTTAATCTTGTCAGTATATCTCTATGAATTTTGTGAACAGGCCAATTGATATTGCTTTTATCAGTGAACTCCATTTCCTTTATGTTCTACTATGAATAAAGAGTTATGTAGGTTTTGAATGTGATATATCATTAGGTAAAATTTAAAATGGGTATATATTGAAGGGAGGTTYTTCACATGATTATAAAATTCAAAATCCCACTTGTATTGGTGTAATTTTATATTTTAATATCAAGTTGAGGATTTTCAGTTCCAAATATTTGAGGGTGCATCTCTTTGTAGAGAGATTGGACCAAATGGGCCTTGCTTTACTTCAGCTGTTTACTGTCTTTATGGGCCCTTAACACATTAGTTCTTATGTTTATTGGGTCAGTTGCCTAACTAGGGGCACCCATGTAATTTTTCTTTTAAATTAATCCAGCACATACATAAAGAGTCTAAGGGAGTGAGAGAGGGGCATTTCTCTCTTCTCTTCTCTTCCTCTTTTTTTCTAACTTCTTTCTCTTGAACAGCTCTTTCTCTCTTCTTTCTTCTTATTTTTCTTGTTATATGTGGGAAATTCTTGGATTGGTTTTCTTCTTGGTATCAGAGCAGGTTCCCGCTTCTTGCTTTTCTTCTCTTAGACCCCTAGACAGTGTGTATGGAGAAGTAAGTAAGCTGCTGATTGATTGAAGATTGATGCTGCCCAGTCAGGGGAGATTTCTAGAGAAGATTTATCATTTAGGTTGAGGCCCAAGATAGGTTTTTGGAGATTTTTCCTAGAAACCCTAGTTGATTGGAGAAATCGGACTTAGAGGTTTAGAGAGAGTTTAAAGCTGGCACTTGGGGCTTAAAAAGGGAGTTTACTGACCCATTTGGAGGTCGACTCTAGCTAGAGAAGTTTCTAGAGTCCCTGGAAGGAGTGGCCACAAGTTCTTTCTTCTCTCTCTCTCGCCCATTTTCTCTCATTATATCGGGTGCTGTGAAACCCTAGTTTTCTATTACAGGAAATCTTAGGTTAGTAATTTTTGATTAATAGTATCTTGTTTTGATATTCGTTTGCCTTCGTTTAATCAATGGAGCATATTGGAGGTGAGACAAAATACCCTACAAACTTTGGATGTGGTCAGGGGTCCATAGAAAATCTTTGTGGGGTAGTGACTACTGTGAAGCTAGATGGGACAAACTATTTGGCATGGTCTCAATTAATAAAAATTCATGTTTGTAGCAGAGGAAAATGGGGGTATATCACTGGGAGTAAGACAAAACCCAAGGAGGACGATCCTACCTATGAGAAGTGGGTGCAAGATAATTACATTGTTGTAGGATGGTTGGCGAACACTATGCAACCTCATATTAGTCAACACTACTTGTGGTTAGAGATTGCYAAGGAAGTAGGGGATTTGTTAAAGAGACCCACTCACAGAAGTTAAATGTTGCTAGAGCTTGCAAATTGAAGAATGATGTGAATAATTTGAGATAAGGGGAGAACCCATTAGTTGTGTATTTCTCAATATTGAAGGCTATGTGGCAGGAAATTGATTTGATGGAGACAGTTCAATGAGGATGCACAACAGATGCTGAAACTCATAGGAAATTGGTGGAGAGGAATCAGGTTTTTGAGTTCCTAATCGGGCTCAATCTTGAGCATAGTTTTCAAGGTGCCAAGGCGAGGATAGGCAACATGGGGGTGCCTTGTCGCCTAGTCACCTAGGCGATGGATTTTTTTATGTAGAAAACATAGATCCTAGGGTAGTTCCCTAGGTACCATAACTGTATTTCCTTAATAATTATTCATAATTTTCAAAAGAAAAGTATAGAGTTCATGTTAAGATATAGAAAATCAACATATTAATGAGAAGAAAAAGAAGAATAAAAAAAATATAGGGGCTGAACCCTTATTTTTGTTATAGTAGTAGTGGTTCAGGTTTTAAAGCCTTTGAGGATTTAATACAACAATTAGCAATGTTTGTATTGATTAAACCCTAACAAATAAGAAAATAATAAAAAGAAATTAGTATATAAACACACAATGAATATTTTAGTTTAATAGTGCCTATTTTATAATTATAATGTCAAAAAATAAAGAATAAAAAAGTATTTTATAATACATAGCACAAAATTTCTTGGCGATTAGGTGAGGTGAGCCTCGAAGGGTGCCTTGTTGCCTAGGCGTTGCCTTGACAACTATGACCCTAAGTATGATATAGTAAGATAGAATGTGTTAGCTAAGGATGGGGTGACCCTTTCTTAGGATTATTCTATGGTTAGTAGTGAGGAGAGCATGAGACATGTTTAGATTGTGGAGATCCCAGTGGAACACTTTGCTAATGTTGGGACAAAGCAAAAGGGTGGTACTGAGAGAAAGGAGGTTGTGCGTGAATACTACAAGAAGCCAAAGCACACAAAGGATGCCTGTTAGAAATTACATCCAGAGCTCTTACCCGCTAGATTCAAGAATAATAATAACAATGACAGAAAGAGTGGGAATGGGAAAGGAGGCAAGGCTAATATAGCCACCTCCTCTGATGGTGAGAAGGGCAATGTGATAAGAAGTCTATAGGGGAACAACTTGCAGCCGTCAGGGCTAAATATGAGAAATCAAGGTTCTAAATATTGACACAGGTCGATCGATGCTTTTTTTTAATGTTTTATTTATTATTTTTCAAAACCGGTTCAGAGGGGTCAGTTTAAGTCCCAACTACCCTCTGAACCATGACCTGATCTGATACACCCCTTTGTAGGGGCGTATCAGGAAGGCCCCGATACGATACGTAATGATATTTTGAACCTTGTGAGAAATATGGCCGCATCATTAGTCATCTATTGTCTACTTCAGCTTTCGCTCCACCCAGTAACAACTCCACCTCTGCCTATGCTCACTTAGGTATTTGTGCTATTGCAAATCATGCCTCTATCTCAGGTAATCATAGGATTCCCTAGATAATAGATTATGGTGCTTTTGACCATATGACTGGTCCTTCCACTTTATTCGCTACTTACCAACTCTTATTTGGTCATGACAAAATATCCCTCGTTGGTGGTTCTCTTGCCCCCATCTCAAGAAAGGGGGACATCGGAACCTCGGGCTCCCTTACTTTGACTTTTGTGCTTCATGTACCTAAACTTAATACCTACTTTCAGTTAGTAATTTGACTAAACCTTTGAACTATAGTGTAACATTCTTTCATTCTAATTGTGTTTTTCAGGACATGAAATCTTAGAAGGTGATTGGGAGTGGCTATGAGGTAAATGAGATATATTTGTTAGACATGCCTGAATAGAGCCGAGTACTACCTCAGAAATCAGCTTTTGGATCTACAGTTTTAGAGTCAATTAGTCATGTCATGTTATGTCATCATCGTTTGGGTTATCTGTTTTTTTTCTTATTTAAAGTTTTTGTTCCTGCATTGAAGGAGTCAGTCTATTGAATCTACATTATGAGTCCTATGAGTTTTCAAAACATTGTAGAAGCTCTTACACAACAAGTAATAAAAGATCCATTTTTCCTTTTAACATTGCTCATTCTGATGTGTGGGGGCCTTACCATTTACCTTGTATGGGAGAGTAAATATTTTATTTTGTTAATTGATGACTTTTCTCGTTACACTTGGTTGTATCTTATGCATTCACATGAAGTACCCAAACTTGTTCAAGAGTTTCATGAATTTGTGCTTGCTCAGTTTGACACCTAGATCAAAATATTCCGATCAGATAATGTTAAGGAATGTTTTGAGAAGGATCTTGCCTTTTATTTTAAGAAGTTTGGAGTTGTTCACCAAAGCTCTTGTGCCCGCACTCTAAAACAAAATGGGGTAGCAAAGAGAAAGAATTGACACTGGAAATTTCTAGAAGCATCCTTTTTGCTTCCCATGTCCCTATAAGGTTTTGGGGTGATGTAGTGATGACAACTATATATCTTATTAACCGTATGCCTTCCTGGGTTTTGGGGTTCAAGTCTCCCTTTAGTGTTCTCTTTCCAAACCAAGAAGTTTTCTCCATTCCTTTGCGAGTCTTTGGGTGCACTTGCCATGTTCATGTTCCTAGTTCCCAAAGACATAGTTTGAACCCAAGTCCAGGAAGTGTATTTTTCTAGGGTATGCCTCTACAACATAAGGGTTATTGTTGCTTCGATCTCAGTAGTGGCACCCGGTTTGTTTCTATGGATGTCACTTTTGTAGAGTCAACCCCCTTTTATAGCCATTCTTCTAAGGGGGAGCCCTCTAGTGAGTTGTTTGCTTCTCCCCCACCTTTACCAGCTTCTGTTGACTCTTGTATTGGTCCTCCTTCAGCTCCTTTGACTCCTGTAGTTGAATCTTTTGGCTCCTCCATTCCTGCACCTCTTCTTCCTCCTAGTCCTCCTATGTTCACTACACCTATTCTTCAAAGGTGGTACCAACGACAAAGACTAAGGCATGAACATCTTGTTCCCCCATCTCTAGGTGAGCCTCTAGAACTTCCAATCATTGAAGAGAGGACAAGTCCTATAGAACCATAACTAGTACCCTCATTCCTAGACCTTGACCTACCCATTGCTGTAAGAAAAGGTAAAAGGAAATGTACTGTTCATTGCATTTCCAAACACCTTTCTTACAATTATTGTCCCCTTCCTACTATTCCTTCTTAGCCTCCATTTCAGCCCAGTTTGTCCCTAAGAATGTATCAGAAGCCTTATCCAAGTTAGAATGGAGGGATGCTATGAGAACTGAGATAGAAGCACTTCATAAGAACAATACTTGGTTGGGATATTGTAGACTTACTTGCTAGGAATGAGCCTGTTGGTTGTAAATGGGTTTATACCATAAAATACCATGCCAATGGACAGATTAAGAGGTATAAAGCCCGCCTTGTTGCCAAGGGGTATACTCAGGTCTATGGGATTGA